GCCAGCAGAGGTCAGCCGGGGAATCCCAACCAGGTTGGGACAGTCCTAAAGACCGCTCACGTGAAGGGGCGAAAGAGGCGGAGCCCAGCTGAGCAGGTGTGTAAGATGGGGGAGAAATTTAAAGCCCTCCTCCCCAGAGACCAGTATGGCTGAAAATGGAAATACTGGGACAAAAAAGTACCATGGAAGAGGCCAACCAGTCTCAGGAAGGGTCTCGCCCCCAGGGGTGAGAGGTTTGACCTGTCACAGACCAGCCAGGGAGTAGACTGGCCAGATGCAGCGTCTTCATTGTTCCCTCTCTCCTATGGCTGGAGTACCTCAGCCCCTACCCCATGGGCCAATCCCATCCTCCCAAGTTCAGCAGACATTAGGGCCAAGTTTGTCTGAAAATGTCTTGTTTTTATTTAAGGACAAAAATTGAGATATAACATATACATTTGTACATGGAGAAAAAAATACCAGAAAGGAGTTTACAAAACCTTGGTCACTGCCATTATCATTCAGTGGCTCTGGGGCAGTATGGGCCTCTGGGTAGCCCCCACGCCCCCAGAGGCCCGAGGTTGGTCAGCTTTTTGAGAAGGCTCCTCAGCCCACACACCCACTGCTACTGCCTCTAGAGGACAGGTTACAGGTTTTAACCATGAACTCCTAGGCACCCAACACAGTGACGCAGCTCCTGGCTGGCAAATCCCCAGGGCTAGTGCAAGGTGACCTAGACTCTACTTGGAGTATGGGGGAACCCTAGAGGATTAGTCTGGAACTCTCAGAAAGATGGCTCATCAGTCCGGCCTGAAGGATACAATTCTAGACTGATCCCCCTGCCCTCCCTAAGAGTCATACAGGCTAGATATTGCTGATGGGGGGGCAGGATAGGGGGAAGTAGAGTCTGAGGCCAGGGTAAAGGGCAGCTGTCCCCCAGGAAGAGAGGAAATCAAAACAAACAGGGCCACACAAACCACACCAGGTCAGACCCACCCTCTTAAAAAAACTGGTCAAGACAACTTCAGGTCGGTGCCCTCTATCCATCCCCATTCCCAAAATCCAACCGACCCCACTGCACATTCAGTAAGTCTAAAGGGAAGGGTTCCAAGGGGGGCCCCAGAGGGCACAAGATACTGCCCACACCAGGACAGTGAAGGGGGCCTCACAGGCTACGAAACTGTGAGAAACATAAGGCAGGAAAGAGGCTGGGGCAACCAGGCCAGAGGCTCTGGAAGCCCAGAGACCACCCTAGAGTGGGCTGGGGGCTAGAGCCCACACTGCAGCTCAACAAGAAGGGAGCCCCGGGAGGCTACCCCAGCCTGGGCAGGAAGGAAGGGCAGGACTGTGGAAGCCACAGGCTGGGTCTGTGGAGATTCAGGCCAGACCTGCTGGGAGAGGAGTGGAGTCTCAGGACCCCAGCAGAAATAGAAGTCCACCGGGGGGGGGGGGGTGCAGGTCAGCTGGTGATTCCAAATGTGTATGTGTGTATTTGTGTGTGTGCATGTGTGCATGTGTAGGGAGAACTTCAGTCCCACTGCTTCCAGAGAAACAAAAAAATCCTAACAAACCACCACCAGAGAAGGAAAGACAGCTTTGGTTTTTTTTTTTT